GCTCCTCTCTAGGATTAATGGTGACCTGCCTCCTGTATCTAAAATATTCCAGGAGGTATCTTCTATGTTGTATTGCATTGCACATTTAAACAAGTTCACTTCTAAACAAATTCTATTTTCTATCTTTGTATCTTCTAAAATATTCCAGGATGTAACACTGAGTGGGTCAAAGAGTTAATGTTGCTTAAGGCCTATCAAAAAAATTGATTTGATGCTATTGACATCTCGTAGCTGTTCTTTAGTAAATATTTCAGTGAAAGAAATAACTAGCAAAGTGTATTCAGATTAATGATACAAGATTTCCCTGATATATCAGTGTACAATTTTATCTATAATACTGTACAAAAATAAAAATGTATGCAGTTACATTAATTTGCCGTGTCCTTGCAGGCTCGGCAACCTGCGGAGCTGACTGGTTGGTTTTTTATTTTCAAAGGGCTGATCAGTAAGTTACAATAAATTGATTACTTACTGCAATTTAACCTTGCATTCTTGATGCTGAGCGGCTAAATATTTGCGGCCACATTTCAAGCTTTAGTCACTAGTAATTCTTGGACAGGTACTGCATTATCTGGTTGTAAAGTATTTTCTATATTTTTCCCATTTTATTAGCATGATCCTAAACCATAGATATATATATGGTTGTTGTGTTCTGATGTTATCAGTGAAGTATCCTCTAAGCATTTGTTGAGTATGTGAGTAACGAATTACATCACAGTTCTAAGCAATGTAGCATGCCCTTGTAGTCACTTCTATATTTGGCTGTCATTAGTTTTGCAGCACATGTATGTTCTGATATACTCTTCTCATAAATGTTGGCTTTACTGCTTCAAGAACTCCATTTTCACCTTGTGCTTTAATCCTGTGCAATCTGAGATCATAAACTAGGCCTTAAAACTAAGCCATGAAACACATATTTGGTCCCCCCCCAAACACACATGCTCCCGGTAGTGGTGTCCGGTTTTTATTGCCGGGGATCCCGGGACGGGGCCCTCCCTGGCTATGTAGCTTAACAGCAGATGGGAATGGGAAACAACGAAATGGCATGGTATGTTCATTATGTCTTGCTATTACTAGTGTTTCAGTTGTATTGACATGTTGCTGTCTTATATTTGATTGTGTCTAGTGCTATGTTGCTGTTGTATATTCATGTTTGTTGAAAGTAACACTTAACTGCATGGGTTCCCTAATAAGACACTAAAATGGAGAAGCGACATCAGTATTTGCATCAAAATCCTATGATTATGTCCGTCCAGTTTCCCATTACTTTTCATTTGGCCTAAAATGTTTATTTCCTTCACCTGGTAGCAATGCTTTCACTTTCATGCACTTAAATAGTACATATGCCTGGAATGGGTATATTGCTGCCACTTGGCCTCCCTTTCTCTCCCTGATTTTGCCACGGTGACGAGGATGCCTAGGACTTGAAACACGTTCTCCTGTATCTATATTGAATAGTTCTTCAGCAATGCACATACTTTAGGAGGAAACTGTTTGTAGTGCTTATACATTTTCCTCCTCTTGCTCTATTGTCTGATTGTACCATGTTTTTATTACATTATTCACAAACTTTTCTCTTGACAAAGGATTCTGAGTCTATTATTCTCACAGGGAAACTAGTGCTAATAGAGGGTCTAAATCTCCTCCTCGAAATGGTGAGTTCTACCTGCGTCTTTGTTATGCATTGAAAACAGTTTTAGCTCGTGCTACAATTTTAAGCTGCTTCACTAATTGTTTGAAAAACTTGAACTGCAGATATTGGCAATGAGGAGCTTGATCAGCGCAGAACAAGCCTAGGAGGTAAGATCCTTTTCAACATTTTTGACTTGCAAATCACTTGTATTTGTTACATTAATCTTATGCAAGCTATGCTCTTGTGTTGCAGATACTCAGAGATGAACTTCAGCCAAGTGAGGCATCTTGTAAGGTGGACTGCATCTGAATAAGCTGCTTATGGTTAGTTACATGTTTCAGTATTTTGTGCATCAACTTTTTTTTCTTTGTGGTTAAACTTATCTGTAGCTTATTTAATACGCAGGCCCTATTTAGGCCCTTTGTGATCTCCAGTTCTGATCTGGAGCACTTTGGGTGGCTTTGGTACCCTTTAATTATGTTAGGTAATGTCTTGCTTTAATGCTTTTATACATGTTTGGAGCTTATAAGAAAATGCATGTGTTTCGACAGAGGAATGTATATGATTCCGTTGTTCACTGCGCTTAATTTGAAATACAACATCATTGTGCACACCGTCCAGCTTGTTTTTTTTTTCTTTTAAATTCCATTCGTTAATTTCTTTCTAAGATATATTTGTACTTTGTTGAAGCATCAATTCAATGACTAGAAGGGATTTAGGAAGAAAACTGCATTGTCATTTGGTCTTGCTTGGAACATATTGTATAGGCTATCGATAACACTTTCTATCCTAATCGTGGTCATATTGGTCAGTGTGACTGTGTGAGGTTAGGGGGTTTAAACTTGTAAGGGTGGACAAGTGGTTTAGGGAAGCTAAAATGATGGACTTTCCAAATGAAGCTACAATTGTATCTAAATTAGACTTGCACTGCTGTGTTCCGTCAATTGATACCAGCTGTGACTCAAATGATACCAGTTGTGACTCAAATACCAACATTAATTCTTGGCATGGATGTTTCACATGGTTCTCCAGGTCGAATTTGAATTGTAAATTTAAATTTTTTTTGCGGAAAAATGATTTGTAGGGGCGGCTGGTGTTCCCAGACCGTCCCTATAAATCGATTTGTAGGGACGGCTACAGTATCAACCGCCCCTACAATTCGATTTGTAGAGACGGTATGGTAGGAGCGGCTGGCCGAACCGTCCCTACAAATACTTATTAGCCGTTCCTAAAACCCATATCTGAAGTAGTGCTATCTTTGTATCCATCCGTGCCCGACCGACCGCAAAAAGGGAGCCTGCATACACGGGGATTCCCATGGCTCTATTCATTGCCGCCATTGCTCTGCCCTCCCTCTCCCTGCAGGGTGTACATGCATCTAATATGTGTGTAAACCTCCAGGCCTGCATGAGAGAGAGAGGGAGGGAGAGGTAGAAGAGAGCACAAATTAAAATTATAAAATGTTATACAACACATATGTATTTTAGAAAAAAAAACACATGGATTTTTTTTATATCTCTCCCTCTCTCTTTCTCACCGGTGACCACCGGCACCGGCGACGGCGACCGGCGAGCTCGCCCCATCGCCTGCGCCTGCGCCGGCCATGGCAGTGGTGGTGACGGCGGCGGCGGCGATGGATCTATGATTTGTCCTTCCATAGAAAAAAAAATTGTGATCTGTGATCTGTGATCTGTGGAGGCTGGAGGCTAGAGGTAGAAGAAGGGTGGAGGCTGTTGAATCTTAATCCTATGGTGCAAAAAAATTCATGTGTTGAAACTGCATAAAACACATGGTTGTGCATGTAGTAGACAGATTTTTTTTTGACTCTGCTAGTTTCACTGATTACAAAAATAATTGGCAAAATAGTTTCTAAAATACATGAAATGTCTATAATACCATTATAATTTTTATCCTTATTTATTTCTTTGTTAATAGTTTATTTTTTTATGTTTTTTCTCGTTCCGTTTTCTCGTCCTATTGGCTTTGCGCCCGACCTCACCCTCCACCTAGGGTGCGGGCAATTTGGCCCTTGGCCCAGGGATCTAAGGATGGACCGGGAGGAAGATATTTTTTTTCAGCTCTATCTCGCGTGTTCAACTCTTCTCGACGCGATTTGCAAGTAGAGTTAGGTGAAGCCATTGGTCGTCTTTCCGTTTGGTTGGAGTAAAAGAGCCGGGCGTGGAGCAGCTCACACAGCGCTACCAAATACAAAATGAACTATAATTTAAGACCGATGCATTATCATTTATAGTAACTACCAGGACTTTTATATACACCCGACTTGCACGATGGCATTACATTTATAGTAACTAGCCGTATAGGAGACAAAAGCTGATGTTGGCATTCACGTGGCACACTTTCATTATTGCTTACTATGCTTATAGTCAATAATGCATGATGTTGCGGTTACTAGTCGATCTGGATTAAAAAAATAGGTCATGCTTGGTGCAATTAGGTTCACCAAAGAGTCATCTTGTTACATAAATTAGGAAAGATACAAAGAGCTAGGAATGCTCTTAGAATATATACACAGGGGCCGTCTCATCACCTGCACTGTGCCCGTCCTAGGATATATAGCTAGCCCAGCGTACGTAGTATACCAATCAACAACAACATATGCACTCATCGACATTGCTGGCTCTTGTTCCACTAGGCGAACATCTTCTATATCTTGTGCGCGGTCTAGAGAGTCATCCTCGATCTCTATATTTCGCTAGCGAGAAATCTAGAATGGAGAATATCTATATTTGAATATCTAACTGAAGAAACTGTTGGATGATATTTCTTTCTCTAAAATCTCTATTCCTCTAAATTAGGAAATATATAAAGAACCTTTTAGATATGCTCTTAGAATATATACACAGGGCCCGTCTCATCACCTGCACTGTGCCCGTCCTACGATATATAGCTAGCCCAACGTACGTAGTATACCAACCAACAACAACATACGCTCTCATCGGCACTGGTGGCTCTTGTTCCACTGGGTGAATCCTTCTATATTTTGTGCGCAGTCTAGAGAGCCATCCTCGCTCTCTATATTTTGCTAGCGAAAAATCTAGAATAGAAAATATCTATATTTGAATATCTAATTGAAGAGACTGTCGAAGGATATTTCTTTCTATTCATATAAACTAGGACATATATAAAGAACATTTTAGAGATGCTCTTATAATATATATACACAGGGGCCGTCTGATCACCTACACTGTGCCCGTCCTAGGATATATAGCTAGCCCAACCTACGTAGTATACCAACCAACAATAACATAAGCACTCATCGGCACTGCTGGCTCTCGTTCCACTGGACGAACCACACTGTACACAGAGCTACTGGCTAGCTAGCTAGACAATCGACCCAGCAGCAGCCATGGCTGGTGGTGGTGTTCAGCAGGTGGTGACCGTGCTCGCGGTGGTGGCGCTCATGGCGGCGGCGGCGGAGGGTTTCATCTCCAAGAAGACGTGGAGCGGCATCCGGCGGGCGGACCGCGACGGGCCCTTCGTGGGGCTGGTGGTGCCCAACGCCTACGAGATGGAACCCGTCCTCAACTCCCCCGACTTCAAGCCCAGCAACAACATCCCCATCCTAGATGTTCAAGGTAACCTAGCTAAGCAGCAGCAGCAGCAGCAGACGATTCTCCGAGCATGCACACAGTGACACAGCATAGGTGGAGACTGGAGAGAGCCGTCCGGCCATTTTCCCTTTAACTTCCACCAAGGTTTTCAAACCGATTATGTTTATTTTTTTACAAGGGATCGGATGGTAAGAGCTTTGCCGTTAGATTATGTTAGACGAGGAAAAAAAAGGAACACATAAAGGTACACATAACCAGTCCTGCCAAATCCCACTACCCAAACTAAGGAGGCAAAAAGAAACTAGTATATGCAACTACATGGTAAACGGGGCTCGGCCCGGGAACCAGGACAACCAACATTAGAACCAAATTAAGGCAAGAAACAACTAGAACCGGTAAAAACACACACAGCTGAAACAACCTCAAAAGGAACAAGAAAACAAGCTAAGAGGTGTTGACACTCTGGTCTCCACGCCAACTGGAATTTTTGTATATATGTTATTTTTGCAAAGTATTGCGACTTGTCTTGGTTTCGGATTCTTCTTTGCTAAAAAGTTCTTTCCGCTCTTTCAAAATGTTCCACCAAATTATGTTTATTATTATGGTCAAGTTCTAAATATATGGTCAGTAGTTAATAATAACTAAAATCCTGAAAATATGCCACCAAAAATATATAGAGCCACATCGCAACAGGAGGAACACCCCTTTTAGCAAGGGATATATTCGTTGCTAGAGGTCCAAATAAATGTTGGTAAGACCAATACCAAGAGATGATACATGTATTGCTACTTCCTAGAGATTATGTTGCAAAGGTCTATTTGTAACGCATATGCAAGCGTCGGTAACATTTGCATATATGTTCTGCAAGATAGCAACGGATATGCATATATGTTCCGCCAACAAATTTATATGTTGCTAACTAAATAAGCCGTATGCTTTCTGGATCCACCATTACAAACATATACATATTTTTTGAAGTGAGAAGTCAATATAGATTTAACAATTACTTGTACATACGTCATAACATCCATTAGCCCTGGGCACAAACAATTAATAGGCCATTAGACAAGTAAAGCTAACATATATTCTTATTTCAATAATAAATGATTCTGTACGGAGAAGAAAAACGCACAATGTATAATGGTATATTATTGTATTCCACTAAATACAAAACTCCGCACCAAAAATAAAATGTACATCAAATCCGAAATAAAAAGCTGTTCTTGTGGGAAAATCTTATGTACTTCATCCTTCATAATCTGAAATCCAAATATGGCCCATTTGCCCTGCATGAAAAATATAAGAATGCTTTGGTAAGAGCATATATGGAAGCACACTCTAGTTTTTCCCCCCATTTGCATGAATCACAACCAGAATTTTAGATTTCTCATAATGATGTGGGCTTCTCATAGTGTTTTGACATTCAAAATTTAGTAGAGACTTTCCCTACTAAATGTCTCCTAATGAGATTCCCTTGTGCTATGACTAGTGGTAGTGTTTTATTACTACTTAAAAATACTAGGAGAATTCCATCATTTTGGTAGTGAATTTACAAATCTCTACACAAAGGGAATTATTAGTAATCTGTTTCGTGACCTAACTTTTTTGTGCACATACATATAAAAGTAACTGGGCTGAATTAGTGAAATTCTAAAAAATAAACGAAATAATTCAATGTTACAAATTTATATTTTAGCAAAAAAATGTCAATGGCGAAAATTTATAAACATTTAATGATGTACCTTATATATATCTGGATCAGTCTGTACAAGCAATACTGTCTTTTTGGCAATACCTGCATAATAAGAAGCTCGCAAGCAGCAATTATATATAGTATACATGACAAAAGCATGACCTCTAGAATTCCGTATGTTCCTTGGACATATCCCAGTTTTAAGTTCAATGATAAGGAATCATTCAGACATATATGTATATATTACTCAGAATATGAGTCAACTAATTAAGTGCTAAACAAAACTAGATATATAGACAAATATGTTCAGTAACATATATTTTTTGTGAACTCAAACTAATTTATGACGTGGTATAAAAGCCAAAAGGTCAGCATAGAAAATACTAGTTGAAGGTCACAGCACAAGAAATGTAATGACAATAATGTTTCCAATAATGCGAATAGTAATAGTAGATTTTCAATCCCTCATATTTACAGTGTCATGGTTCGAATTAACTCTTTTTCTTATGATATATATAATTAATTAACAGATGCAGTTGTGTGTATATAAAAATATAATATAATGCTCTTACAATCACTGTTGGAAATTTTTCTTCGAAGGGCGACGATTCCGCTTCGGAACCATTGGAGGCCAAAACGTTGTCATGGTCATGACTGGGCTGAGCATGGTATAAATTCATCTTTTTCCACGTGTACATGTGAAAATTTATTTTACGACTATTTTCCTAAAACGAATCTGGCAGCAGAGAGCTGTCGATTTTATTTGACCACACAGTAAATAATCAATACTACTTTTGTCGATCTGTGGCCTGCACTGCAGCTGAATGCAGGGCTCACAACCCAGCTGCTGCTGAGCCTGTTCAGGGTGAAGGGCATCGTGCACTGGGGCATCGCCGGCAACGCCAACGAGGACCTCCAGATCGGCGACGTGACCATCCCCGAGTCCTGGGCGCACTTGTCCCTGTGGAACTGGCAGAGGCACGGCGACGGGCCGGAGAACGAGCTGCCGCTGGAGGCAGGGCCGTCCCGGGAAAATTAGAGGCCTGTAGGATACTAAGAAATGAGGCCTATTAGCCTAGAAAAAAAAACTAAATATACGATATTATAAAGCATGCAGTATGTTGCAATAAAATATATATCAAGATTCAAGAATGATACCTATATTACATAATCTTTACTTGAATAACATCATTCTTTTAGTGTTCTTTGAAATGAAGTCTTCAATAATATGCTCATAATCAATCTTCTCCAACAGTTCACCTTCAAGTGCTATTATAGCCAAATCATTAAGTCTTTCTTGTGTCATTGTAGAACGCAAATAAGTCTTCAATAGCTTTAACTTAGAAAAGCTTCGCTCTGCTGATGCAACAGTCACAGGAATAGTCAACAAAACTCTATATGCAATAGTTGCATTAGGAAAACAACCATGCTCCTTTAAAAACCGCACGTGAGACCTAAGATTTGCGATCTGATTCAGTTGGAGAATTGGGATCGGCAACATTGCCAACCGAAACAATGCGGGCAACAAGCCATTGTTTATTGGGCTTTGGTCAATTGTTGTACACGTCGCTTTGCTAATGGGCCAAAGGCCAAAGCTATCTTCAGACGTCACGTTTTATTTACCAAGCAATACATATATACGTATATATACTCTATATATATTTGGAGGCCCTCGAAAAGTGGAGGCCCTGATCGTCGCATATACGTTGCACGTGCCAAGGGACGGCCCCTGCCGGAGGGGCGCGGCGACTACACGAGGGAGTACGGCTTCCTTAACTTCTCCGACTACACCGTCGGCCGAGCCAACCCGAGTTGTCGGCGAACACGCCGAAACAGCGTGTGGTACCAACCGAGGAGATCTTCCCGATCTCCCAAGACGCCGGAGGAGCGGCAAAAGACGCTGCTCGGGTGCCGGTGAGCAAGCGCTACTACAAGCTCGCCGGGAAGTTGGGAGGGGCCGGAGCGCGGCGGCGTGAACGCGACGACGCGTTCGCCTGCGGCGCCCGGTGACGCGGGTGCCGGGGTTGCAGCGCCAACATCTACACCGACAACGCCACCACCGGCAGTTCATCCGCGCCCACGGGTGCACACCGTGGAGATGGAGAGCGCCGCCGTCGCGCTTCGTGGGCGCACCAAGACGGGCGTCCCCTTCATCACCATCCGCTCCCTCTCCGACCTCGCCGGCGTGGCGCTCCTCGCTTCAAAGAACGAGGCCGCCACGTTCCTCGACATCGCGCCAAGAACGCCGCCGACGTCATGCTCAAGTTCGTGCCCCTCTCTCGCCGCGGCGGTGGCGAAAGGTGAGCAGCCGACTCACTGACCGAGGACATGTAATCTAAGACGGGCGGAGATGATCGACGACGCCGAAAGCAAAGGTAACGCCGTGGTACAATGCAATTTCGTCCTGTAAGGTTTTTATAATTATATTCCCGCCCACAAATAACTTGTATCCCTATTGCAAACCTAATCTTCAGTGGAATAAATAAAATTGGTCGTCGTGCCCATGTTTTTATATCGGTAATAATGCTAGGAAACAGATGCCCGCCCGCCACGGACACTCTGTTGGTGGTCCGCGACGCTTAGCCCAACTACCCTTCCTATTCACTCGGGAGTTTAAAAAGAAAGAGTCGATCTTCACCTCTTCCTTCCCCATCGCTGTCATAGCTTATTACTGCCGCTGCTAGCAGCCCAAGACCATAGCCCGCAGCCACGCGCCCTCACTGCCTCCTCGCTGCTCCAACTCAGCATCATGTTGTCGTTCCTGCCCACCTGCCGCGCCGCCCATGCTTGCCCCTTGAACTCGGGGTGGGAGCCAAGGACCGTTGGTTGCTCTTCTTCTTAGATCTGTCTGTCGCCTCCTTGAACTGAGATGTGGACGCCATCTTCTTCGCTCTCGCCGGGTCGGCGCCTCCGGTGAACTCCACATGCCGATGAATCTTCATTCTCCCAAGCAGGGAGGAGTGTTGCGCTGAAAGCGCATGTTGCAAGCGTATGTTTAAGTGTTTCAGATGTTTCAGAGACATGTTGCAAGTGATTCATACGGATGTTGCAAAAGTGGATTGGAATGTTGCATATGTTGCAATGGTTGTACATGTATGTTGTAAGCTTCTGTTCCATTGTTGTGGCAGGGCCACCCAATTTAACCTAATCCCAAGTATACTTGTCAGCCATTTGACACTAAATACGCAAGAGACCAAGTTAAACCCGGTAGTCTATCTAGTACACCTAATGGGAGAACTCGAAAATCCACGTTTTCATCGGGATCATAAACAAGTGAATGAAGCTTACAACATTCTTAACCATTTCATACATCATAATGTTACATAAAATCAGAGTTATTACAAAACAGATTTCATAAAAATAGCGAAAGAAAGGTCATTTAATACAAAAGCAGCGAAAATTTAATAGTTTTGAATATTGAAGTAGAAGTAGAGATTTAAGAATAAGGTGCTACCGATAGCGGCGATAGAGGAAGCCTCGCTGAGCCCACCAGGAGATATCCAGACATAGCAATGATTAGCTCCAAAGATCCACCACTACCTACAGCAGGGGAATAAAACCCTAAGTATACAATGTACTCCGCAAGACTTACCCGACTAGGTGGGAGTAGTCTCCGACTCTCAAAGATATGATGGGGCTATTTGGCTAGTTTGTTTAGTTATTTTTCTAGAGAAGCATTACTAATGGTGCATCCCGGTATTCAAGGTTTAGCAATCACATCAAGCTCATTACTTAACCATTCTAGGTAAGTACATGTACTACTTTCAAGCATGTAGTAAGCAGTCAAAATATATTTCATGATCTAGCAGTAGTCTTATTATCATTTCAATGTTCTAGTTGCATTAGCTACGATGATAGTGAAATGACAAGTGGTATCCATATCCGAGGAGGGCGGTGATTGCAATCGATGTACATCGAGATGGGTAATCCCAAACACACGCCCGTACTTCTCTCGACAAAGCATGTACAAGGCAACCATTCCAACTGTATGACCAAGACCGAAATGACCTAACCACATTGGGGAACCCACCCTATGAGGGCGCCCATGAACCGCAATAGGTTCCCCTCATAAGTTTGACCATGGACATTCCCTCCCAAAAACAACCGCTAGAATGGCCAAAGAAGCACTCCGGTGAATGTTTTGCACACCTTAGTCATAAGGAAGTACTAAGCTTCACGGTCAAGCGTAACTCGCCCTGTTTTGTATTTGGTATCTTCAAACTTGTTAAATGGCCACCAACAAATGGTCCTTAGTCGACACACAGTAAGGGAAAATAAATACCAGAGCCTCGCTTTGTTGCTATAACCAACCATAACCAAACCAAAGTCCTCAATCCCGCTTGGGTCTCCAATTATTACCCAACATCTCAAGTCCATGTGATAGTAGTAACATAATAGCCATGACCTATCTCTCGTGAGTGATAGTTCATCACCCGACTTCTGCCGTAGGTCCTATAGCATGGCATACTACATGATTCCTATCATACTAGTAGGACTTATAGGATAGAATATTTATGCAGGTGGATTTCAAGCAACTCCTGCAACTTAATGCACAAACAACAGAATAATAAGTGCTTGAAAAATAGGGGTTATGCACGGGGGCTTACCTGGGTAACTTATTAACATTAAGTTAGTTAGCTCCATCTTCAACATGATCAGCCATCATCTTCAGGACCGGTCACCATTACACCCTCTTCCTGCTTGATGCCAACATCCTTAAGTTGATCCCATCATCGTTCATAAATGCAATGCAATGCTTAAGTCAAACAAGCATACACATAGGCATTACAAACTTAAAAATACAATCAACACATCCAAGGGTGACTAGAGTAGCTAATTGTCGTTAAGAATCACTCTCATACTCTCCTCAAAACATTACTCACGAGTTGATTATTGCATTAAACACACAAGTGCAGGACCAAGCAATATGTCGTGCACATAACCACTACTAACCAGAGTTAAGTAATATTTTACTTAGCTAATAAGTAGCACAAACAATATATAAAGTATGTGGTAAACATAAGTTTAAGCACTTATTAAAATTGATGGTTTAGTTACACATAAACATGGAATAAAAAGGTGTTGCACCGAACATCTATTTTGGAGATAAAATTTTTTATGGGAGGCACATCTTAACCAAACAAAGCTACTATATGAATTTCATAATTTCTGGATAAGCAGATTATTTACTAGAATTTAATTAAGACTTAATGGTAATAAAAGCATGTGACACATGACAAATCAATAACTCAGTAAATATACATTCAATGTACATGAAATTTTTACCCTAGCACAAACATGCAATAATTAACCTACCACGAAAATTGCATAGCAATTGGATTCATATAAATGTAGATATGAATTTAGCTCTAAAAAATCATAGGCAACCATCTATAGCAAAACTTTTATATTAAAACATGTCATATTATGTTTCTAGTGTATAAATCTAGTTGTGTGGAGTGCAACAAAACTGGTTTGATATTTTTATGATTTTTCTATGATTTACTATGAATTATAGAAGTTTCATCCTATTTACACATATAAAAGAAAAAGATAACAGGAAAAGGAAAACACATTTTGCGTTGGGAACCCTGGAGTTTCTACTAAGCCAAGAAGGCCCTTTCACCTTTTGTTTGTCTCTGGTACTTTTTCAACTAGAACCCTGGCTTTCTTTCTATTTCCTTTTCCACTCCTTCTCATGCTCGTGCAGAGCACGCACGTACGGGAGAGGGCGCTCGATTCCGACCGGAGGAGCTCCGATGGTGGCGACTCGACGGCCGGAGAGGCATACAGGGCAGAGGCAACCCCGGCCTCGCGCGTGGGCGACTACGGCCCGCCCAGCTGCAGCATGCAGGGGCGCGACTCTGTAGTGGCAACAGAATCGTGGCTCCGGCCTCGTTAGGTTCAGAGAGGGTGTGCACGGAGACGCGGAGGCTGCGGTAGACGTGCCGGTGGTGCTGGCTAAGCGCGAGGCGGTGGGAATGGTGGGGGCGACAGCTCGGGTCCAGCCATGGCGTCCACGTGCGCAAGAAAAGAGCA